CTGGCCCTTTAAATACAGTTCCTCATGTTGTGACCCAACCATTAAATTATTTTCGTTGCTACTTCATAACTGTAATGTTGCTACTGTTATGAATCGTAATGTAAATATCTGATATGCAGGATGGTCTTAGGCGACCCCTGTGAAAGGGTCGTTCGACCGCCAAAGGGGTCGCGACCCACAGGTTGAGAACCACTGACTTAGACTGTCACTTTTAAGAAAAGCAATCTTTACCCCATTTCTGGGGTAGTGTTTGTTCATATGGTCATCTGTTCACTTAAGTCCTACATGCCTCATCCCCCCCCCCCCCCCCAAACACACACAGCTGAAGGCCAGGTTCTGGCAGAGCAGGATTAGTAAAGGGAAGTGATTAGTAAATGCTCTTTAGATGTCAGCCATCAACTTTTATGACTTAGCAAGGGGCTGTGCCTTTAATTCACAGTAAATTTGGCTCCTGGACCAGGATCCTACTTCTCCCTCCACCAGTCTTAGGGTCATCCCTCTTGTTTCTCTGGGGCTTCTAACAGAGAATTCACTGTCTGGTCTACACTGGAACACTCTGTCTTGGTTCTTCTGCATTGGCTTTCCCAAGGTCAGAGATCAGAATTCCTCAGTGTTTGGACTTGCATAGGCAGAAAATACTATCGAATTGATTTCTGCTGTCCCTTCTCCCTCCCTCTCTCTTCCACGGAACACCCACCCATCTATTATCTTAGTGAGCTGTATCTCAGATACCCGTGGACTAGATCAATCCAAGCAGTTGCATTTCAAATGGTTTAGAGCTTGTCAATCAATATAAATTCAAAGCCCCTGGAAATATCCTTGTTCTAAAGATTAAGGGCACTTACAGCCTGGTTAATTAATTTCACTTGATCAAGAATATCTTCAGGCAGAACAAGAAAACTACTATTATACGCCATATGTCTGCAAAAAGTTTAATAGTGGTTTAGAGTGTGGGCTCTGGAACAATAATGCTAATTTGGATCCTGGTGCCACTTCTTGACAGAAGTATGACCTTGCACAGGTAATCCAAACTTTTTATTGCTTATCCTTTCTTGCCTGTAAAATAGGGATAAGAATGGTACCAATCTTGTAGGGCTGCCGAGGTAAATGAGTTAACACACATGTAAAGTGACTGCAATAGCATCTGGCCCATAACAACCCCTCATTTACTTGGAGCTAATGGCAAAATTAAAAACTAGACTCTGCCCTGGCTGGTTTGGTTCAGTGGATAGAGCGTTGGCCCTCAAACTGAAGTGTCCCGGGGCTCGATTCCGGTCAAGGACACAATGTTTCTTTCTCTCCCCTCTCTCCCACTCTCTCTAAAAATAAATATATAAATAAAAATAAATGGAAAAATATTCTCAGGTGAGGATTAACAACAACAACAACAACACTAGACTCTGGTAACTTTATTGGCAGCCACAGAAGAAATGAGTTGATAGGAACAAAAGTAATTTCCTAGAGACACTGCCGACAAAACTTTACCAAAAGCCCCAAGTATGTATTGTGAAATGACTAACAGAATCGGCTCCCAAGGAAAGCTTAATCTTTCCTTATTCTTTTCTTTCAACTATGCCCTTCAACCCAACTAACCATAACGACTGAAGCGCTAGCTACCTTTCAGAAAGAACCTCTCACTCTTCGGAGTGACTAAATTTCATTCCTGGCCCTAGAGGACTGGTAGAGATTCATTTTTACTTAATCACCAGGCCTCCCAGGGCATCTCACTCCAGCACAGCTGGGAAGCAGCGGCCTTCAATTTACATTCCAGATCCTCAGAATTAAGGATAAGAGAAAGCATATTGCTGGGGGTGGGGAGAAGCGAGAGACAGTCCTTTAATTCGCGAATCGATAGTGGGTTTAAATAAAGCCGTCGTCTGGGAAGTTAAACTGGTTTGGGAGAGGGGTTACCACAAACTGAAAACGAGCAGTTGATAACTCCAAGACAGACACACACACAAAAATGCCTGTTGGCAGGTGCTTGCTTGCAGGCGACAGAGGGCGAAGTGATGGAGAACCAGCGGCGGGGAACTGTGCCTCCACCGCTACCCTTTCTCCTGACGCTGATGTAGTTCTCCCCCGGGAGCATCAGCCTCCGTCAGTCCAGCCAGTCGGTTCCCCAGGGCCCTGCATCCGAGGCCCGGGGCAGAAGGAGTGGCGGTTTGGGAGCTGAGAGGTTGACACGTGAGAAGTAAATAGAAAACGGGCGATAGGCGGCTGCCTCCCCTACGCAGGCTCCACCTTCGGCCCAAAGCGCGGAGGGCAGAGCCGGGCGGGCGGAGGAGGC